CTCGACCAACTGCAGGAATTCGAAAGTCGAATTCAAGGTGACCATTAGAGGTTTGTGTCTCCATTCCGAAGGCACCCATTGCCTCCGCTGTCTGGAGTTCTACCAAGTCCTCAAATAATCAACCTGTGGTGCCTCTTCTTTCTGGAGTTTCACCAAGTACTGAGGCTCCACATGATCAGTCTCCAATGCCTCCCCCTTCGAGGGTTCTACCAAGTACTGAGGTTTCACACGAGCAACCTTTGTGAAAGCTCATTTCTTTTCCTTTCCTTTTTTTTTTCCTTCATTTTTTGTAGTTGTAACTCACATGTATGTATGTATAAAAATTTCGTCCTTTATGTCGTGCTCTTATTGACTGCATTTTCATGAATATGTATTTGTAAATGTTTGTTATTTTATAAATGCCTGTACACCCTGATGCAGGTTTGATCCCACCAATTCTTCTCCTTTGAACGCCTAACTATTTAACACACTAACGTTATTATCGTACTAAAAAAATGTATGTTCTTTTACTAATGAAAGATAGTACTTAAAGAAATGTCTTATTTTGTTAGTAAAACACATCATTTCTCACTTAAATTTTTTTTTTTTTAGGTAGTAAGAATTTATCAAGAAACCATCAAGAAGTACATAGAATAAGCATGTAAAACGTAACCAAGCAGTCACACACACCAAAAGAACACCACACAGTTTCACAATAAACATGAAAAACACTCATTCAATATCATTCTTACGCGAACTTTTTCTTTTTGTTTGTAGATGATATAAACTATTCTTATTCATGAGAAAAGAAGAGGATTCGACTTGTATATAAAGGGATATGAATATAGGCCGGCTGTACTTGTGATGGTTCCCAAGGATCTAGTATGACCACTTAGGTCTACGTTGCCATGATATTGTTTTATGGAATCAGGCGGGCAGAAGTTCGGCCCATTTTTTTTTTTGGTGTCGTAGGGTAGAAATTGGCCTTTCTACCGTATATTCAGTCGTACCGACATTGCCCCACTTATTTGTTTTCGATTGGAGCATCAATTATGCACTATATTTTAGCCAATTGACAAAATTTATATTCATTTTTTTTTTTGTCATAATCTTAGTACATTAATATTATTTTTCATTAAGGTTACAAACTCACTTGGGTGGTTAGAGTAGAAAGAGTATTAAACTCGCCTTGAATGTATGTATAGTAGAAATGCTCTTTGCTACTACATCTACATACCTCACGTAAGAGCTTTTCCTTTTGATGGGAGCTTTAACGAAAAGGGTTTGGACCAACAAATATTTAACCAAAAACCATCCCAAAATGTTATTTAACCAAAAGAGCTCAAAGTTTAATAAAAAAAACCATCCTCTTCTCACCTTTCTTTGGCTTAAGCGGTGCAAGCCCTGCACAGCACTTGGGTTTTTTCAACTTCTCCAACAACAGCGACCCCAACAACAACATCTTCGATATCGAGTTTGATGTCTTTGAAAACCAAGAGTTCCAGGATCTTGATGACAACCATGTTGGTTTGGACATCAACTCTCTTATGTGTAATGCTTCGAGCACCACTGGGTATTGGAGTGGCGGACTTGATCAAGATTTCAACAAGTTGAAGCTCAACTATGGAATTAACTATCAAGTGTGGATTGATTTTATGGGCTCGAGAATTAACATGACCATGGCTTGTGCTAGCGTGGCAAAAACAACCAAATCGAATTCCTCCATTTCAAAAACAACCAAATCAAAGTTGAAAAATGAAGCATTCATCGGAACAAAGCCGCCGAACACAAGTTCAAAGAAGTTTAATCGTAGAAACTGGTGAAAAAGTGTCTAAAAAAAAAAGAATCAAAACATAAAGCTGTTTCTGGAGAACCCAAAACATGACACTGTTTCTGGAAAAAAAAAAAAAATCAGACATAATGTTTGTTTTGTTTGGCATAAATAAACACTAAAGAACCAAAATCCAAAAACAGTGACTTAAATTTTAGAAACAATGACTTAGATTCCAGAAACAGCCTATATTTTAACCTTTGACTGTTTCTTTTCTTTCATGCATCAGTTGATTATATTTAAAAAACAAGTTGCTTAATTTGCCTTGAATCCAAATACAGTGAATTTCACTATTTGTTTTCTAGCTTACATTTAAGAAACAGTGTGTCTATTTCATTTGGATCCAAAAACATTTACTTAGATTCAAGAAGTAAAGTAACTTAGGTTCCAGAAACAATGACTTAGATTCCAGAAACAATGTTACTTAAAATCTAAAGACAATTTATTTTTACAGTCCAAAAACAGTGACTCGTCATTATTATTGACTAGCATGCAGATCTCAAATTTATTATCTGAAGAAACAAACGATGAACTCCACTGATGAAGAAAAATTGAAAAACAGTATCTCGAATACACTATGAATAATAACGACGATCACATTTCAAATATAGCATGAGAATCTATATTTTTGTTTCAAAGAAAAATAAGAAGGTCTGCAAAACAACGATGAACTCCATTAACAACAAAAATCTGTAACTCAACCTAAAAAAATTAGGGGTAAAATCGACAAATCATAATTTATTATAGTTGAGCCATTTTTAGTTGAACTACTTTAATATGGGCCTTATACTAATCATTAAACAAAACTTATAACATGGTTTTTTTATTAAAACTAAAACTTTTTAAGCCATTTTCATTAGTTTTCCTTTTAATATATTGGTTGGGACTGTGACACCACTTTTTAATTTTTTTTATAACAATTGATATTATCTACACTGAGAGAGAGAGAGAGAGAGAGAGAGAGGGTGGACTTAACCTCGTAATAGACTAACAATAATGTGTTTCAAATTCGTCTTTGGCGAGAATCGAACCTAAAAACTTTCCATTACAAGTGAAAAGGAATATCACTTGACCGTGACACTACATATAACCATATATTTGTACTAAGAGGTGGAGGATGTAATTTGAACGGCAAAATGTGCATGTTCTTAATTATGAGCTATTCGCACTCTACCTAGGTTTCATAAACCCTAAAGTTGGCCATAAAAAAGAAAAGCTTCGGTAGTTGTCTACTCATAACTTATTTATTTACACGAAAGATAATGGATAATATCCATTCGTCAAATAACAGGAATTCGTTTCTTTGAAGGTGGGAAGTAGCCAATCAGGAGGTGCCTATCTCAATAGATGTATCGTTGCATTTGATCGAACCTTTAACTTTTTGTCTACTCGTGATTGCTTAATCATTTTTGCAAACATCAACAAAGAAAATTCAATCACCAGATAGCGTTCTTTGAACGGTCAAATTTAGCCAATCAGAAGGTCTAGTTGGAAGTTACCGATGAAAAGGTTAGTTCAGATGCGACCAATCAGAAGATTAGATATCACGTGGACATTTTGCTATTATTGTCCAATTTAAACCAAACAGGCAGTCTTACAACGCGCCCGAACTACATGAAAATAATAACTTATTATGTAAGAAAGAAAAAAGTGAGATGCAAAAATATGTCATCGTTTAAATAGTCAGCGAAATCCAATCTAAGATTAGATAGTTGTATGCAAGTGGTGAATTGTCTTAATGATTAAGGTATACTCTTTAACTCATTATGTCCCGAATGTCCAAACATTCTTCCCCATTCTAATGTAAGTTAAAATAGTAATATTGCTCGTATGAAAAAAGACAAATAATACTATTGAGTTGCACGAAGGAATGACATGCAATAGTATCGCAAATGACCAAAATTGTACTTGTGAGTTGAATTAATCGAATTTGAAAATGTTCTTATGGGGATTTTGTTCTTAGACAAGAAGGTCGTTAATTAAGGAGAATATTTTGTTTACAATCATGATATTCTGACTTGCAATGGCACTCACAAATTAGAAGGAAAATACTTAAAATACTGGGACTGATAAGATAATTTTCTTGATATTGATACCAATTCTTTGCTAAGATTTTGACATTGATGATACAATTAAAAATGCGTTACCACAAAGAGATACCCAGAGAGATACTTTTTCTACATAATAATGGAATAACGGAAATAAGATAATTGGTAATTAGCACAAATATATAAAACTGCAAAAAATATTACATAAATATATAACAGTAACAAATGCCATACTATTTACTCCAACCGAAATATCAAAACTGAAATGGAAATGAAAATTAAGCTTCAGACGTCAAAATTGCGTCCATGAAGCAATGACGTCAAATAAGTTTTTTTGTTATTTTCAAAGGCAATCAACTTGTCTTACATTAAATGCGTAGCATATTTAAGTATTTTTTAATATTATTTTAAGCCAGTAACTGCACATTTTTTATTATTTTTGTTTAAAAAACAGAGATTAAGTAATAAAAATTTGACATATCGGGTTGAAAGAAAATATTGACAATATATCAAATTGCCAAGTCAACCATCAAAATTGAAATTTGATGTTTTGAATTTAACATCTCCTTTAGAGATAATCTAAACATTTTCGCTTGCTAACAACTCTCTAGTTGGATGTTATTATATCTTCTCGATTCACCTTTTCATCCAACAATCTTTTTGAATTATTAAATCCATTGGATTTCTAGGTTCAGTCTTTAAAGTTCAATTTTGAAAAACATCAACCAAATTAGAAATCGTTTAAACATCTAATTAGTAAAATTTTCAACGTCTACATAAAAATATGATTCGTTTATTTATTAAATAACAGTAGTCCGGTAGACGATTAATGATTTGTTTTGACCACTAAAAAATAAATAAAATACCAAAAATAAAATATTTGTACACATATACAGATTTTATGTTCTTAGAAAAGCACAGGAAGTGTGCGGAGAAATTGCTTTGACAGAAGAAAAGGAAGCAAAACAACTACACACAACACTAAACAGGATAAGAGTTTTCAGAAGTGGATTTTTCTGGTTACTGTCTTCGCCACGTAATCACAAACTTGTCAATGCGCGTGCTCATCATGCGTCCCTGTTTCGCCGGCGGCGTACGTTAGCCTTTTCCCCTCCCCCTTCAAAACTCATGCGACTCACTGTTGTCTATATATATACCTCTACACCTTTGCTCCCTCTTTCTGAACCGCTTTTTCTCCTCTCTTATCCTCCACCCGTTCCTTTAACCTGCGCACACCCCCTCGATCTTATGACTCTCCGTCTTCCTCTTCTTCTTCCTCCTTTCAATTGATGACTACAAACCCCGTTATCTGGAAGCTCAAACGACGACGCCGACGCATCGGTGAAGGGTAATTCCGTAATTTCACCGATCGCCGACTTGAAGAAACTCCCCCTGGTTCGGTTTTTTGCGCACCATCTTAATCAAGTCCAGCCTCGAATGGATGTCTTGGTGGGCCCGACCTTCTCCGTCGACGTATCGTCCTACGGCCCTGCGCAGACGCAGGACAGCCGCCACCGAGCCGGCCTGTACCTGAATCAGGACCGAGGGGCCGCGGAGGCGGAAGAGGCCTCGTCGGACAGCTCGTCATCGATCGGAGTTCCGGATGACAGCGAGGAAGAGGAAGATTTCAAAGGTGACGACGGCGATGAGGTGCAGAGCAAGTTTAATGGCGGCGGAGGAAGTGGAGGAGGATTAGGTTCTCTGGGTTCATTCGGATCACTCGAAGAGTCTCTTCCAATCAAGTAAACCCCTCCGGATCTGCAAATTTTAATCCGAAACCGATCAAATTTATTGAATTTTCAGTTTTTGATCCGTCATGTAATTAATTGATTAACTAATTAATCACTTTTTAATTAATTTTATTTTTGTTTTTATTTGTTCAGGAGGGGATTATCCAACTATTTTTCAGGAAAATCAAAGTCATTTGCCAGCCTGTCAGAAGTGTGCAGCTCTGTGAGTTCAGTGAAGGAGGTGGAGAAGCGAGACAACCCGTTCAACAAGCGGCGGCGGGTTCTGATCGCCTCCAAGTGGTCGAGAAAATCTTCCTCTTCCTCCTCCCTCTACAACTGGCCAAACCCTAAATCCATGCCGCTGCTAGCCCTAGCCGAAGAAGGAGACGAAGACGATGACGAAGAACAGAACCGTGACCGACAAGGCGACGGAGACAACGCGTCGCAGCAATCCTCGTCGGACGAGGAGGATCAGGAGAGGAGGAGGCCCCCACATAAACTGCTAGACAGGAAGCTGAAGAGCTTCAAGTCAAAGAGTTGCTACTGCCTCTCAGATCTGCAGGAACATGATGAACAGTAACAATTTGTGCTAGTTTTTCTTTTAAATTTTAATATTTAGGGTTGTTGGAGAGGGGGGTTTGTGTTGTTTGTGTGTGGGCACTCGGAAGAAAAATATAATGTATTATATATATATTTGTAGTAGCATGATTCCATTTGTGTTTCGGATAATTGTTTTTTTATACTTTATTTTTAGTGTTAATAGGATGTGGATAAGCATATGGTGATCTGCTGAATCGGATATGTCAAGTATAAAGACATGTTTGCCCCTCCATTCAATTATTTTGTCAGTTTATGGTATGGAATATTGGCTTTAAAACATTGCAGGTCATTTATCTTCTTTCCTATCTATTACAAAGTGACAAAATCAAAAATGCTATTCTTATTATCCTGTTGTATTATTTGTGCTCTCCCTACTAAAGATGAGATTCACATATATTGATGAACCCAATTTTTATTCGAGAGATGATACAAGTAAATAGTAAGCGTAGCTACTCAAACAGAATGTACTCTTCCACTTTTTTTTCCTTGGAACAAATGGACTGAACTTCTTATTGTGTTGAGCTGGACATCAATGTTTGATGTACATTGCTAAATCCAACTCCCTAAGAGCAGTTCCACCCCTAAAGACTTTGCATCAGTACCTAGCGCATTTATCCACTTAAGTGAACAGTAATAGACCCCAGTAAACAGTAATAGGTCAAAGCATCTCCACCCCTAAAAAAATGAGCTGGCACCCAGTCTAAAAATGCGATGGCACAAACGATCTCGACCCTTATAAAATGCGCTGGTACCTAGCCCATTTAAAATATTTTATATATTTTTTAAAAGAATAAATAAAAAAATAGTTTATTTTCGGATAAGATTTTTAACCAATTTTGAATAAAATTTCAAATAAACTTAAAAAAAAAACTAAAATAAAATTACATACTCATCAAATAAACTTAAAAAAAACACACTAAAATAAAATTACATAAACTCATCAAATACACTTTATTCTTCAACCACAAGCTTATTTTAATTATCTTCACCTTCTTGCAATCCCCATTGGTGCTCAATCAAGTCATTCTGGCGAGTTACGTGCCAGTATGGCTCTTGCACATCAGTGTACTGCTGAACGATTAATTCATTGTAACGTCCATCCCGTTCCAACGGCTCGTGTTGCACGGGATCTTCAGTCTGATCATGAGCACAGTAGATACGTGTTCTTGAGTTGTTCATTGGATTTGGTTCATATTCATTGACGACATCATAATCATACTCATCTTCCACAATCATGTTATGGAGAATAATACACGTTATCATGATGGATTGAAGAGCCTCGACATCAAACATTCTAGCAGCAAACCTGACAATCGCCTAAAGAGCTTGCAGGATACCAAAACAACGCTCCACATCCTTCGTACACCCCTCTTGACATTTTGCGAAGTGTTTTTCTTTTTCAGTCTGTGGATGTGGCACTGTTTTGACAAACATAGACCACCTTGGGTAAATGCCGTTTGCAAGGTAGTATGCTCCATCGTATTTAATGCCATTAACCCAATATGTGCATCTGGGTGATTTTCCTTGCAATAGATCGTCGAACACTGGAGATTGAGTAAGGACATTTTGGTCATTCTGAGCTCTTGGAACACCAAAAAAAGCATGCCAAATCCATGTATCAAATGAAGTCACCACTTCCAAAATGATACTTTTGACTCATTTTCTGTCACCATAAGCTCATTGCCACGCACTTGGACAGTTTTTCCAAGTCCAGTGCATACAGTCGATGCTTCCAATCATGCCAGGGAGGCCTTGCATCTCACCCTTCCTCAGAAGCCTTCGCATGTCCCTTGGCGTGGGTGTCCGGAGGTACTCATTAGTGTACAAGGCTTCAATTTCAGAGCAAAACCGCATCAGGGACTCCATAACAATTGTTTTTCTCATCCTCGCGATCTAATCCACTTGATTTGCATATGCTCCATATGCAAGCATTCGCAAGACAACCGTACTTTTTTGCTCTGGAAGAAGACCTAGAACACGAAAAACATCATCTTTTTGCACAAAATATGGATCATGGTTGCAAAAAGCACTCATGATTTTGTTGAACAAACTTCGTTGCATTCTAAAATGACGTCTAAAAACATGATCAAGGAATACGCTGTTGGGAATAAAATAATCTTCCAAGAGATCTTTACCTCGTTTTTCCCTTTTTCTATCGAAGTTTGCGGCACGTCTGGGTTTGGCTATCTGACCCACAGCTTCCATGACATAGCGGGAATGTGAGGCCATCTGCCTTCTATGGTCATCATCTGAGTCCTCCTCCATTGCGAAAGCCTCATCACCACCTCCACCTTCCTTGAGATTGATCAATTCTTCTTGTTGTGCCAACAATCTGTTCTGTTGCTCCACAAATTTTTTATGCACTCTCCTTGAAGAAGACATTATAAAAAAAAAACTCAAGATTTGAAAAACGATGAAGATGGATGTAGGGATGTATGGTTTATATGGACAAAAAAAAAAAAAAAAGGATGAGCTTTTTGGTATTTTTTTTCGCACAAAAAGTATATGAAAGCTTTGGTAGAAAGTGTATAAATTATTGAAATGTGGTGTAAGGTGGAAGATGAGGGTTAGGTATTTATAGAAAAAAAAAAAAACTTTTAAAAAAATATGTATTTTTTAATAATTTTTCTATATTTTTTCATAATTTTTAATAAATTTTAATAGAGTTAATTAATCTGAACCGTTGGATTTGAAAAATATTCAAATCCAAGAGCCAAGGCGCTGCCACGTGGTCAACGGTCAAAATTCTGACTGTTAGGCCTTTTTTTATTTTTTTTATTTTTATTTTTGGTGAAAAAAACGTGGACCGTTGATTTGTGATCGCATTGTCCGTTTTAAAAGTCAAATTAAATTTTTTTTTACCGTTGGTAATCCAATAGTCTACAAAAACTAGCCGTTGGAAATCCAACGACACTGAAGAGGGCCACGAAGCTCTAATCTGGGTGAACACAAGTGGGCTGACAAGCGGGCCTTGCCACCTGCACCCTTGTCTCCTACTCACGCCCAATCGCGAGTGTGTTGCACGAGCCAGCCAAATAGGCCGGCTCTGGGCTTGTCCGAAATAGGCTGGTCTGTTGCCTGGCTTGGGCTAGGTGCCAGGCTGTTTTGCGGGCTGGAGCAGATTGATAGGGTGCTGGGCCGATTTTTGGACTTGGTGCTGGGCGACTTTGTGTCTAGTGGAACTGCTCTAAAGTGTGTTGAAGAATAGAAGGGAATTTGAGGGCCTATTTGGTACTCTACTTAAATCCAACTTTTTAAACTCAAAAACAGTTTTCAAGTTTTAGGCCTTAAAAACTTGTTTGGTATGACTAACTAAAAAATATAGTTTATTCTCTAAAAAACAAAAAGTGAGATTTTAGAGTTTTTAAACAAACTCACTCCTTTATTTTCTCTCCCTCCTTCCCCCTCACTCCAAATCTAGCTCTCTTTTTCTTCTTTCTATCTTCCCCTTCTCTTTTTTCTTTTTGTTTTTTTTACCTTTCTCGTCTCTCTGTCAATCCACTCTCTTCATTCTCTCGGTTCTTTCTCTCACTCATTTTCCTCTATCCCCTCCGATCATCTCTCTTCTTTTTCTTTCCTCCAATCATGTCTTACTTTCTTTCCTCCTCTCTCCGCTTTCTCCCTCGATCCTCTCTTTTTGGATCTCTTTGTCCAGTTTAAGTTGTAAGATTTAAATTTTTTAAATCGCATACCAAACATGTTTTTGAGTCTTAAAAAAACTTGTTTTCAAGAAATGTTCTTAAGAAATGTTTTGAAAAATGATAAAAAATTTCAAATAGAATACCAAACAAGCTCTAAGGGATGCCTATGAGCTACTTAATGTAGTTTAGGACTCGTCAATTTGAGCAAGAAACAAAGTAGATGTTGAATGTGTGCTAAGAATCGAAGGGAATTTAACAGATGAATATGAGCGACTTAAGCGTCAATGTATTCTAGGACTCATCAATCGGAGCAAGAAACAATAAAACACGTGCACATTGAAAGGTTTTGGAGATTTTGTTAGGCCGATGGAAACGAGGAAAACGAGCAAACAATAAAACACATGAAAACAGAAACGGATGGAACTAAACAAACCTAAAAATAGTAAGCATTAGCCATGAAACCTAACTTTGGAAGTTGCTAGAATCGTTTGCTGGAGGAAGGATGGAAAAGTAATTTCGTTCGATCCACTAAGATGGGGATTCTGATGAACTCAATTTGTCATACTCATTCCTTCTTGCAAGCGAAGCAACATAATGTGCTTCCTTTATTTGTTGAAAGAACACATCTCGCCTACCTAATTTCCAACGAGTTTGCTAAGAACTTGAGTCAGTTCCCATATTGTTTTGAGGCAAAAGTACGTTTTCCACTACTTTATGGCTGTGTTTCTTTTAGCTATCGTGACGGGTCTGGCCGTCCTCGTCACAAGACATACTCGTTTGAAGTCGTTTTGTTGTAAATGTGATCGAGATAGGTTTTGAAAATTTAAGCTCGGCTTAGGTCTCGTCACCGAGCTAGGCCTATTCAGGCTGAACTAGAAGTATTAAAGGGTATCAAACAAGGGATATGTTTAGTATTTTCAAATGCTACATTCATTATATTTCTAGATTTCTAAAGGTAACGTTGAGTTGCAAATTTGGGTTAGTCCAATTGGTCAGGAGCAATGCGTCTGTTCCTTTGTACTCAAGTTGGAATAAATATCTTGTAAATTAGAATAATTTTATTAGAATATCGTCTTATTAAAAGTGATATATAGCTTGGGTTAGTCCAAATTCAAAAACATCAAGTTTAGGCCCTTTTCTTTTCCTATGAGCGTGTCTAAGGTGCGGACGAAGCATGCATACAAGGATCAAATGGCTGAAAATGGACAAGCTCATGTCATTGTGACCCGGTGCATTTACAAAATTTTAAATTTTTTTATTCAATTGATGTGTTTTTGTTTGACAGAGGGAAATAGGGGGTAAGCGGGAAATAGGGGTTGGCTGTTGCGTGCTTTGAAGAGGAAAAAAAGAGGGGAAGAAAGGCAGACATAGGGAGCTAGAGTTTGGAATGGATTTGTGGTGCTGGGTTTCGACTGCGACCTGGTAATCCCATAACTTAAAAAAAAAATTTGTTCATTGGGTGTATTTGTGACGACGAGGGTTTTCTCTGCCGGGGAAGAGGGGCAGAGAGAGGGAAGTGTTGAAGGGTGTGTGTTAGCTGAATTTATAGAATATTGAAGCATGCTTGGATTAGATTGAAGTTGACATGGTT